TGTATAAATCTCAATTTCAAAAAATTGACCCTTATGACTGGTTTTGTGGTCCAGGGTCACATATGCATGTTTCTGTTTCTGTGCATATGCATATCTGTTGTCATGTAAACTATGAGTCAAGAATTTTGACCCACATACTAGTTAGTATATATTTTCCAGATTTAAGAATAATTATAAAGAGACCACAACTATGAAATAACACAAACTGCAACTAACAATGTAATGACCAAATAATAGTTACAGTTTTGTATTCATTTCACTCTTTCTGTCTTTCTCTAGAATCAAGCTGAAGCTCATTATAAAGGCCATAAACATGCTCGTAAGATGAAGGCATTAGAGGCTCAGAAGAACAAACAGCAGAGACGACAACTCGACAACGCACATCACAACCGAGACAGAGAGAAGGACCGAGAGAGGGACAGGGAGAGAGACAGCAACAGAGTGAAAACGAGCGCTCCGGATCCACTTCCTGCCCTGCTGGATGACACCGCCATGGAGGAAAGTAAGTGAACTCACAGATGATTAGCCGCGAGAGTGGGCGTTTTTGTTATGAAACATGCCCTAATGCGATTAAAATGTGTTACAGACAACATAAAGTGCATCTGCAACCTATTTAACTTCTGTAATCTTACATCTCTCAGTGTGTCGAGAATATTCAGCTTCAAATATTGCATTATACACAGGTAATATATATATATATATATATATATATACAGTATATATATATATATATATATATATATATATACAGTATATTACTCTTTAAAAAACAACTTGATGCATTAACATTAAATGCAAAGAATGAAAATCTGGGCCAGAAATACAAGTGTTAGTTTGTGACTGCCTCAAGAATGTCTGGAGAAAACAAAGACAACTTTTTGTTATGATCATATATTTTTTTACGTCATTTTATTTTAATATGCTTTTTAGAAGAATCTTGCATTTAGCTTGCCTGTAGTTCCTTCACTGCTGTGAATATCCTCCAGTCTTGCACTTCATGATCTGTCCTGTATATTAAGGGGATTTCATTTCTGACATTGCTTTCCTCTTGTTACGGGGAGGTACTGTGACACAGAGAGCAGAACAACAAGCCGACAGAGAGCTTTGAGCCAGCCCTCTCCAATAATCTCTACCTTTTCATCCCTTTTAAAATCTTTCTTTCTTCTCCTCTGCCCAAACTCTATAGAATATGATTTGAAAGACAAGCCAAATATGGGCCCAAGGGATATGATAAAGGGAAAAAAAATGGAGAGGAAGGGAGTCAGAAAATTCTGCTATTAGACCTTGAGTATGAAAAAAAAAACAAGCGAAAGAGAGAGAGAGAGAACAAATGAAAGTGGAAGGATAGGGCAAAAAGATAGAGAGCAAGAACACCAAGCTCATCAAATCACATTTTAATATTCGGCCCCATTCATGGTGACACAACAGTGAGAGGGAGCATACAATCAGAAGCGAAGAAAATGAGAGATTAGATAAGAGAGAGCGAGAGAGAGTTTAAAAGAGCTACAGAGATGGAGAATGAGAAGATTAGCTCTTGCAATTTTGTCTTTTGTGTTTGGATTAGCTCTCATGCACATGCCAACACATTCTTCACACCAGCTATTTGCAAAAATACCAAAATCTACTTGCTGGTGGCTTCCGGAAATGTCTAATCGGTCCTAACATGCACACACACACAGACACACACAAATTGAGCTGATTGCCTGATGAAATTAGCACTGTTCTGTCATTAAGCTCGCAGCTGCAGGAGCCAATCACAACTCTACAAGCATATCAGCTGTTATTAAAAGCCATAAGATGCCTGAAATGGAAAGGGAGGCTGGGAGGGGGGTTCTGGAAATTTCTAAAGGAAGGGGTCCATTTTATAACAGCTACTGAAACATTTTGAATGCTCTTGCTGTCAGATGTCACAGATCGTTTTCATCATGAGTTTGCTGATGTAGTATGAATAAGTGCAGTATTTTACAGTTGCTGAATTTTTTTTTTACAAAGATTAAATTATTTAATTAAGTTAAATATAGCCATCATGCCATTCTTCCACATCCGTCCCCGCATGTTTCACATTGCATGTCTTTGAGCTGTCCAAAACGGAAATATTTCAAAAGAGTGACTCAGATCATATTAGTCTTTGAAGATCAGTTTTACAAGCCCACTGCAAGACACACACACACACACACACTCCACAGGGAGATGGGCACCGAGTGTTACCCAAGGCAATTCTCTCCATTTCATTAACTTTCGCACATTTTTCAGGTGTGAAGGCAAACTTTCCACACACACACACACACACACACACACACACACACACACACGTGGTCGCACACAACCTTCCTTTTCTATTCCCTGCTCTATTTTCTTTAAACTCTTCCTATGTACCCCCTAAGGAACCCCCTTTTAGGGGAACTGGTATAATCTAAATGTCAATGAGGCACAGAAGAATCAGTCTATCTGATTCCCCAGATGGGGGAATTCAGTAGATCTGTGCACATATCAAAAACGGCCCTATGGGTCGCTCCTCACAAACATCTATGCTAAATAAACACTTTCACTTGTTTAAATCCTGTGCTACTCAGCAAAACTAAGGCATTAGGACTCCTACAGGGATTGCACAATCACTTCAGCACTCTCTGTTAGGTCCTAAATTTACAAACACCTATTACATGTCATGTAGGAGGGAGTCCTGCCAGGGGAGGTGTTGATTTTATGACAAGTCTCTTACTTAGACGAGTCTGGAGTGACTATAGTGACTCCAGACATTGATTTGTTATTGTCATTTTGTTCTGCTGTTTTTGACTGGTTTTTCTTAAGGTACCCCTTAAACATCATTAAACATCAAGTTTAAAAATGATTTATTATATGAAAACTAAATAAAAATACCCTTAAAGTCAAACTTAGACTCATATATATCACACACAACTTACACAAAACTCAGCAGACTTTTTTTTATAGTTTTAGTGTTTGGTTCTTAAATGTCTTTTGAATTTCAGTAGTTTGTGCTATCGGCAGCCAATAATTCACACTAAACATTCTGTGGTCAGCACAAACCATGTGTATCCTTATTTCAGCCTGTGTTTAATGTAGTCTAGGTCATATTTTCTTTTGACTTGTTCATGTTTTTGAGGATGAAAGAATGTCATAGCCTGTCCATGTTGTCCTCTGTGTAATTAGCTATTTACGTTTATGCATTTGGCAGATGCTTTTATCCAAATCACTTTACATTGTATTCAGTCTCTACATTTTTTCAGTTAATGCATTCCCTGGATAAATATGATGAATTTTCACAATTTTATGTTTTTAAGACAGTTTGTAAAGAGGACTGTTTCTGTGGCAAACATCAATGGTTCATCCAATATGCATGGGTTGAAAATTGTTATTTATATTTAACAGTTTTAGGTTTGTTTAGATGGTCAAAAACATGGTATTAACAGTTCTGTGTGCTCAGTGAAACTTTGAGAGCACCTGGTTTGATTTCTCACTGCTCTGGCTGCTATGGCCCTTATCTTCTTTTTTAACAGAACAGATCAAATACAAGGACACAGCACTTGAGTTTCAATGGCAGGCTTAAATAAATGGTCTGAAGTTCAGCACATGAGCACTGGTCTGTTAAAGCACAGCCTTAATAATGTTGCATGACCGAAAACAGTCAGTCTGAAAGTGTCTGTATTTGTGTTTGTGTTCCTGTGCTCTGTGCATTTCTGTCAATTTGGATACTAGCCCACAGCTAAATTACAGCTAGCAGACATTCAGATGTTTGAGTGGAATATTTTTATGCTTTATAGTGGTGCTCTGCTGCTGGCTTTCTGCTTTCACTTACTGATTGTTAGATTGATTTTCAGCTAATAAGTAAAATAACACACATACACACAACAGTTTACAGATGTCTCCCAGGTGGTCTGTTGTTATTCTTTGCTTGTGTCTGCCTTTTTGTTACATATTTCAATTCCTGGTGGTCTAAAATATCTGGAAAGAGCTCTGTATTCCCGTTTATCTCAATGATAGTTACTCTGTTGTGCAGGACCCCCCTGTAGTACCTGATTTGAAATCTGCTATTCTGAAACTTGTCAGGACATTTTTCATTTTGAAAACATGAACAGATTCACGGGCTTTTTAAAGGAATTAAAGAGATAGTTCTCCCAAAACTTTTCCACGTCACCTGAAATCACATGACCAAAATGTATTTTGCTACCCACTGAAAAATATTAAAATCTTGGTCCAGGTCAGGATACAGTTTTGATGTATTGAAGTGACAAAAGTCCCATTTGTGAAGGATTGATTCTTTTGAATTAAATCTTTTTAATGAATCATAAACAAGTTCACAAAATCAGTATAAATGATTCATTTACAAATCAGAGCAATTGGTTCTTTTTAGAAGACTTGAAATATGCATTGTATATAATGCATGTTTGTTCCACTTTTATAATGATTTTATTACATTTTTTGGTGCTTTTTTGTCATTTTGTAGTTTGACGGCCACAGAATGCACTTGTGCTTTTTAAATCATACAGGCTTAAAATGAGAGTAACTATCCCTTTAATATAAACTCGAACACTTAAACTCAAATATTCTGAAACACTCCTGTAGCTCTGTGTAATTGATGACTGACTCATTCACTTTCTCTCTCTCTTCAGCTGCTGCCTGTGACTCAGATCCTGTCGTGAGGGTGGATGATGCTCACTCTAGTTCGGTGGTCCTGACACCTATATCGGAGGTGTCATCTGCGGACCTGTCTGTCTCCTCCCCTCACTTCCAGAACCCGGACGGTCTGCTGGAACCCACCGGTGCCACCAGCGAGCCAGCCACTCAGCAGGACAACCCTACGGGGGACACACCGGCAGAGAAAGACCCCAAAAAGACCAAACAACATCTGCATTGCCCCATCTGCAAAGTCACAGTCAACTCCACCACTCAGATGGATGCTCACAATAGTGGTGCGTATCTTTCTTTCTTTATTCATTTATTTATGTACACTACCATTCAAAGGCTTGCGTTCATTAAGAGTTTTTTAAAGAAATTAATCAGAAGTGTCAGTAAATACATTAATAATGTTACAAAAGACAGTTAATTACTTCTATTTCAAGTGATTACTGTCTTTTTAAACTTTCTATTCATTAAAGAATCCTGAAAAAATATATATTACCCTTTAATATTCTGAAATATTACTGTTGTAATATTATTTTTGATCAAATAAATGCATAAATTCTTACTGATCGTTAACTTTTTTTGGTTTATTAACTCATGAATCAACCACATAAATGAATAAACAAATGTGAATAATCTGAGAATAATCTAACAAATCCTTTTCATCATACAGCATTAAAATGTCATCAGTTCCATAAAAAACAATAATTTAAATATAAGCTAAAATTAGTTTTTTAATAATATTGTACCTACAGACCTAATTATTGACTGTTATTGCATGCTTATTTAACACCTTTGTTTTTCACATTAGTTCTTTTACACATTTTCGTTTTCAAGATAATTCCATAAATTCACTGAATTTAGTTTATGTGCATAAATAAGTAACCTTCATCATGTGAATTCCTTACTTTTTCGCACGTCACAGGCACCAAGCATAAACTAATGATGGAAGGACAGAGTGTTTTGCCACGACGACGAGGGAAGGCAATGTCGTCCCGCCCCTCATGTAAAAGCAAGCGATTGGCCAGTAAGGGGAGTGTGGGCGTGGCCAGCAAAAGCTTCTACTGTGAAGTTTGCGAGATCCATGTTAACTCTGAGGCTCAACTTAGCCAGGTAACATAAAACAAATTAGCTCACATGCATGTGACACATTGGAATATAGAAAAAAAAAATTTAAGTAACATTAGCCCTCAGAGACCATCTTTGGGTCCTAATATGCCATTTTAGGCTAAAATTAAAATCCAACCTTGCTCACATTTCCTGTGTTCTCTTTTACTTAACCTAGCCTAACTAGCTGTGTTTTTATAGCAAGTAGCTACATTGCAGGCTTGTTATTTTATCCAGTCAGAAATGATCTTGACAACCCATTGACAAAACTGCTGGAAATCATCTACACCAATGGTCTCCAACCTTTTTTACACCACGGACCGGTTACGTTTGGAAAATATTCTCGCGGACCGGTATAGTATTATAATAGCATTATATAGTGGTTCAACGCATTATATTGTGTTTTTTTTTATTTTTTTAAGTCACAGATCGGACTATTTTTTCGGATAAGCAAAAAAAAAAAATTTAAAGCACAGAGAATGACAATGCCGTGAAGGGTTTTTGACATAGGCTAATTTTATGGGTATGTATACCCAACTCGGTATTTTCGCGCTGTCTGAAACACGTCTCTATTGCGCGCTATAATTGTGTGCGAGAACAGCGCGTGAGTAACGGATTGAGCTCTCTTTCGTTTCTTCTTCTTGTGGTTTAAAATTGCTTATAAACTGGCAAATTAATCTGCGAATCACATGCGTGCCGAACAGTAGGGTCTCATCCGTACGTAATACGGATCAACTGTGATCCGTTTAACTCCTAATATGTGACAGATCAGAGCAATCTTTCATTTACTTATTTAACATGAAATTGTCAAATTGCTACTCCATATCAATCGCATACAAAGAAAATACAGAATAATTAGAACAATCATTAACATGAAACGGATGAGTTATAAAAAAATTCACCCCCCTCACAGTTGTCATGAAGGGCAAAATTAGCTATATAGACCAAAATCATTTTTTGAACCAGGCTGTAAACATGTTTTTTTCTGCTGTAAAGTTGGGCATTTTAACATGGGGAGTCTATGGGATTGACTCCCTTTTGCAGCCAGCCTCTAGCGGCCAGTAGATGAATTACAGTTTAAGTCACTTCCTTGTTGGCTTCAGGAGAGAGAGCGGGAGGTTGGGGACCTCTGATCTACACCATTGACAGACACATAGTTTATTCTGTTGGTATTGGCAGTTTGTCTCACTTTTTCTCAGAAGAAACACATCTCTATGGCCAAGTTTGTTGCCTGGTACAGTTGTGCTGGCAAAAGCATGTTTTCTCACAAAAACAAATTAAATGTAAAAATGTATAAACTCTTGCTCTGCGATTTATTTAAACTGAGGAAACATTTGCATTTGGATTTCTGGGTCGAGTTTTCTATGTTACAGGAACATGCTAGTCAGTCTAAGACGAGTAATTTTAACAGATCTAATGTGTGTTTCCAGTGCATATTGACTGGATGAAGTTAAGTTGTTGATACCCCATCTGTGCTGGTTACTTGTTAATGTGACTCAGCAAATTTGTCATACTGACATTAGAGCTACTCTGAAAATCTTCTAGCATTCAATTTCTACACACACAAACTTTGTTCGTTGATCATGACCACAGTGAATTTCTCATCATTCATAACCATTCTTGTGTGAATTGTTGCATTTAATTGCAGCAATTTACCTAAAATGCTTCTACAAACTTTACACTTTTTTCAGTTTGTGTCATGAATGAGGAGTTTGTGTGTGTGTTGTTGGCCTGGTGTCTACTCAGGCCTGAGGAACATGACATTTAATGGTATTTCATGCTTCCCTTAAGCTGTCTCTGAAATGTAAAGTAAACAGGATGAAGAAAAAAAAGAAAGAGAGTGCAGGGAAAGAGGTGAAAGGTATTAAAAAGTTAAAGATTTTGTAGGAAAAAGGAAAAACTGCTCTTATTTTAAGTATCTCATTGTTAAAACACCAAAGGTGTAATATATCAGGCTTGAAAATGCACCATTAAAAATACACCATTATTTCTGTATTTGTTTAGCACATGAACAGCCGAAGGCATAAGGATAGACTAGCTGGGAAGCCTCCGAAGCCCAAGTTCAACCCTCACGCCAAGAGCCAGCCTACCTCAGCAGCATCGGTGAGCACGGTTACACTTACTGTGATTTACATGCTAATAGTCATGTGTACCTGTAGCTCAAACAGTAGGATAGCAAGGTGCTAGCAATGTCAAAGTCATGAGTTAAATTCCCAGAGAATTCATGTTGAAATGTAAACCCTGAATGCAATGCAATTCTTTTTGGATAGAAGCACCTGCCAGATATATAAATGTACAGTGCCTTGGGAATGTATTCATACCCCTTCATTTTTTTTCACATTTTGTTTTGTTGCTGCCTTATGTTAAACTGCTTTAAATTAGTTTTTTTCCACAACAATCTACACTCCATACACCATAACTGTCAAGCAAAAAAACAGGTTTTTCACATCTTTGCAAATGTATTAAAAATAAAATGATTCCATTGCATAAGTATTCAAATAAGTATATCTGGGACAGTTTAAATTTAGCTCAGGAGCATTTATTTTGCTGTAGATATTACTACACTTCAAGTGAAGTTAACCTGTGGCAAATTCAATTGAATGGGTATGATTTGGAAAGGCACACATGTCTTAATAAAAGGAATAACAGCTGATAATGCATATCAGAGCAAAAACCAAGCCCTGAGGTCAAAAGAACTGCCTGTAGAGCTCAGAAACAGGTTTGCGTCAAGCCACACATCTGTGGAAGAGTTCAGAAAAAAATCTGCTTCATTGAAGGTTCACAGAAGCATTTGGTCTCTGTTATCCTTAATGGAAGAAGTTTGAAACAACCAGGACTCTTCCTAGAGCTGGCCTCCTGGCCAAACTGAGCAATTGATGGAGAAGGGCTTTGGTTAGAGTGGTGACCAAGAACGTGATGGTCATTCTAGTTGAGCTCCATGATCATATGTGGATACAGGAGAAACCTACAGAAGGACAAACATTGCTGCAACACTCCACCAATCCAGTCTTTATGGCGGTGTGGCCAAACTCAATCCTCTCTTCAGTTAAGACACATGAAAACACACTTGGAATTTACAAAAAAGCACCTAAAGGACCCTCAGATTGTGAGAAACAAGATTCTCTGGTCTATATCACTGCAACACTCCACCGATCTGGGCTTTATGGCGGTGTGGCAAGACTCAATCCTCTCTTCAGTGTAGACACATAAAAACACACTTGGAATTTGCAAAAAAAGTACTTAAAGGACCCTCAGACTCTGAGAAACAAGATTCTCTGGTCTGATGAGCCTCAATTCTAAGCATCATGTTTGAAGGAAACCAGCTCCGCTCATCACCTGCAGAGTACCATCCCAAAAGTAAAGTGTGCTGTAGCAGCATCATGCTGTGGGGCTGTTTTTCAGCAGCAGGGACTGAGGGACTTGTTAGAGTAGAAGAAACGCTCAATGCAGGGAGAAACCTGTAAATGTGCATCTGCCCCCATCCAACCTGACAGAGCTTGAGAGGTGGATAGGTGAGGTGAAGAATGGTAGATAATTGCAAAATGCTGATGAGCAAAGACTTGAGGCTGTTAAGGTGCTTCAGCTAAATATTTAGTTAGAAGTTGTGACAATTCTGTTTTTGCTTTGTCAGTATGGTGTATGGAGTGTAGATTGATGTGACAAAAAAGTAATTTAAAGAAGTTTATCATAAGGCAGCAACATAACAAAATGTAAAGAAAAATGGAGGGGTATGAATACTTTCACAAGGCACTGTAAATGTAATAGTCATATTCAGCTAATCAGTACAGAGTACTGATTAACCCAGAGTTAATTTTAAACAATAGGACTGATGATGATTGACAGGACAAAATAATAAAGCATACCTCTTCTCAGCATGACAGAGAGGAAAGGGAAAAGGGAGAGGAAGTTATTGAGGGGAGGATGCAGCAAACAGGCTTATCATGATACAAGGAGTAATTTTGCGTAATTAAAATAATTTTTATGTCTGCTACACAAACACACACACACGATTATAGCAGCTCTTCTGATCTGTTCCAGCAGGGTGTCAGATGGAACGGTTATGCGGGTGGTGCAGTGTCTGCTATGAAGAAAATTATCAACCAATACAATCTGTCCTCTCTGTCCTCACAGGTGAGTGACAGAACTTAAACCCAATTAACAGTCTCTTAAAGGTGTAGTGTCTAATTTATGCACCATATCACAACATTAGATCAACCAATGACAGTGACTTTGGGGCGGGACTATATATTTCAAAATTTTCAAAATTAAAGGGGAATTTAAAACTTGTTTAAAAACATTCTCTATGGTGTAGCACAGGGAGCTGAGGTTGATGTAAGAAATATTTAAATAGATTTAATAAATTATTCAAATTAAATACAAATTAACATGCCAAAACGAAAACACAAGAAATCAGGTTTTCCCCTTAATAACTCTTGTTTTTATTGAAGAATATGTTTTTTTAAACTTCTAGATTCACAAAATGAATTGTGGTTAATTAGATTTAATATATAAATTAGTACTGAAAATGGATTTTAAAAAATTAACTAATTCATCAAAAAATTTCTGAAATTAATCACGATTAATCCCACCTAACACTGAAGTTTTTAAATATACTTTTATATTGCAATAATTTCACATTCAATATTCAAAATAATGTAGAAACAACATAAAGACAGTATATTTTAAATATTTGTTTAATGGCATCTTTTTTATGACTGAAGGTGACTGGTACCAATACTATGATGTCTATATGAAATTGTTTTTTATTTTCTAATATTTAACCATTGACTATAGCCATTCAACATTACAGTATAATTGAGAGCTATCAATTTGAGCATTTATTAGACTTTAAAAAATAACAACTTCTAATTTAAGTGAACTTAAAACAATCTTCACATAAACCCATTATAATAAATGTCATATTTAGCTACCTGTGCCCTTCAGCAAGTAGTAAATATACAGAAATTGAATAAAGTTATCACTAATTAACACTAAATTCTAAATGAAATATAGATAAGCCCTTAAAGCTACAAATGTTATTGATTTCCTTTTTTCTTTTGTTCTTTGATAAACAGACATCACAGCAGCTGGGTTATTAGGTTATTTGGCTGCTATTACTTTAAGAGCTTCCGCTGCTGAATGTGATTCGGATCTGACATGCATGCTCGTAGTTTCATTCATAAGTTTTTCTTTTAATAGAAATAGTCATAATTACAGAAGAAATATTAGAAATACTACAAATATTTTAGCCTGTATGGAGGGATCTTTGAATACTGTTGGATAAGAGGTGGCCTTACAGTCAAAAAGGCTGAGAATCACTGAGTTACACTATAGCTTTAGAAGTATAGATTGTTAAAGACATTTTTTACAAGATAATGCCATTTCAGTTTTTACTAGCCATTTCTGAGTGAAAATTGTTTTACCACCAAATGTTCAGTGTAGTGGCACAGAAATGTTTCACTACATAATCAAAAATAGCTTTGTGATATCATAATGATTCATTCTGTCTCTTTCTTTTCTCTCTCTCTCTCTCAGACTAAACTGGTTCTACAGAAGCAATTGACAAAAAATCTGACCGCCAGCTTCCTTCCCACCCCCTTAACTCCACCCACCCTCTGCACAGTCGCAGCCAATCCTCTCGCACTGCGACACCCGCCGGGCACTACTTTCATTCAGACGCCCATCCTCGGCCCTGCCCTCTTTAGGCCAGCGCCCGGACCTCTGAGAGCAACACACACTCCCATCATATTTTCCCCTTATTGATCACCTCGAAACAAAACAAACACGCTCTTACAACAAGGCTGCACATTCACGTGATTTAGTTTTACGATCCGTTCTCAGAACTGACGGTCTCTGTGCAAACTTCGTCCGTGCTCCCACTCTCTCCAAGCTGTATACACTTAAGTATATAAACACAAGCACACACTCCCATAGTGTTCCCTGTCCTCCTCAAAAACTGTGACTCTGAGAGGGTCACTCTTGAACTATGCAGCAAAGGGAGAGAGGAATGACAGGACATGAATGACAGGACAAGACTGATAAAGGAGTTGAAAGAGCTATAAGAAGGATATTTAGCTTTGCTTTATGAGATATTTATCATTATACAGATATTAATCAGGTTTTTATTCTATAATTTATTAGAGGAAAGCCAATTTTAGAGACCTATAACTGCGCTAGCTGTTCGTTTAGTGAGGAAATGCAAACATCCCTTTACTTGATGTTTTTTTTTAAGTATTTTCAATTGTTATTAGTCTGTCCTCATGTCGTTCCGCATGGATATGTTGCCGTCGGTCTGTGTATTCGCAAACATTTCGAGTAACCTCATCTGACCGGCTTTTGTTACAAACACAAACCGCATTGGTCTGTCAGTTTACAGATGCAAAGGCTTTCTGTCATGGGTAATCACAGAATAACACAGAGTGCCAGTCTAATATACGAAGGTGACAATTTGGTAGCAAGGCATCACACACACACACACACACTCGCTCCCAATCAGTGTCGTAATTTTCTCAGTGTTGATGCATAGATTAGATGATTTGAGATTGCAGATGCACACACACACAAAACCTCAGATGAGATGATTACGGTTCAGTCACAGTTTGACGTGGCCTTTTATGTCTGCATATTTTGTTCTCAGTATTCCCCCATTACGGCCTCACAAAGGTCAGTGTGCCTGTCAAAAATCTGTCCGCGTCCCATCTTGATTAAGATCTAAACCCTCACCATGTTCTTTGCTTGTGTGTGTGTGTGTGTGTGTTTGATCCAAAACCTGTCATGAGTTCATTACTCTCAATTTTATTCAGAATAACATTTTCGATTCCGGAAGCATCATTGATTTATTTGCACAGAGGAGCCATTGCCAAAATATAATGTCCATAATGGCGGGTTACTGAATATACAACAGTACTGTTGAAAGGAGTATTTTAAGATTACATTGAATAGCAATTAAATTAAACTCACCTGCTACAAGTATACGAGCGTTCCTGTCAGCCTGAACAAAGTCACATCGCTTTGCCCCAGATCAGTGTCATCTGATGGTTTTGGATGGACTAATAAGACTGATCATCTGACTTCAGACCTGTAGAATTAGATGTTGCTGTTGAGTCTATGTTGTACCATTTTTCATCTGTCTAATTTTTTTTTAATGTGCCCTAGCATACAAAGCTTTTTGTAAATATTTTATGAATACAGCTTTTAAAAGTGAATCATTAACATTTATAATATATACAATTAGAGTAAATATGTAGAATTTTATGAGATGTTTAATGTAGATTCTTTAACCAGTTATTGTAATTAATGTGATAATAAGAACGAGCTTTACTTGAAGTTATTACTTTTTGTCACCATTTCTGCAGAGACATGCGTACTGAAATAAGGAGATAATTTAATGCAAAGTAGATAAGATTATGTAGTTTTTACGTCAAATTGTTAATCAAAGCGCTTGCGAGAGAAAGAAGGTGATGGAATATAAGAAATATTGCTAAAAACGGGCCAAGACTCAGACACCAAGCCCACTCAGGGCTCTTTCTTTTCAGAGGATGGTTTGCCCTTGAGGGATTGAAGCCTGGGGCCTTGAACAGAGCTATCTAGCAACAGCCATATTGACACTTCAAGAGGCACAACATGGACAAATTCTGCTTTTTTTCTGAGGACACTTTAGAACAAGGACTTTGCTTGGACTCCATGAATCAAATCTCTTATTTGTGTGTGCGTGTGTGTTTTGATAACTCCTGAACGTCAAACTGATCTCCATAAGGTCCAAGGAAGGACAAATAGCGAAGGAGAAATAACATTGGTCCATCATTGGATACCTTCATGCTTTCTTGAGGCACAAGAAGACGTAACCGCACCATTCCTAGTTGTGTCGTCCTCATGAGGTCCATACAGCAGATATGGCTGGTTATTATACTGTGATGGTCTCTGGTAGGTGGATGATTTCACATGTTGTCCAAAAGCAACAGTTCCAAAATATCTTTAAGGTTATTTGTTGAGATTTTCTGTTGCTTTTTCAGTTCAGTGAAATTCAATCTTTAAGCAATAATGACGGAAACTGGAACCTTTTTAAGAAAATGGAAGATTACTCTGTTTCTTTCTCTCTCTCTCTATCTTTAGTGTACATGTTTCTTCCCTCGTTCTCTTAATGTTGTGAGTGCTCTTGATGATGTAGTGTGCACAGTGTTCCTATTGCCGATCTGGAGGACACTGGAAAGCTTAATATGACATTTCTCCCACTTTATTTTACACCGATGGAATCTGTTTGTCACAGGACAGTCATGGAAACATCCGAAACATCCATATACTCATTAATGCCAAAATGCCAAATTTGAGATTTATTATTATTATTTGATTTTTTTTTACAATAATCAAGTAGACGGCACATACAACCTACAAGAGTGAAACTCTCATATGATCAAAAAGCACAAAAAAAACAGTTTCTCCCATGAATGTGTTGGAAATCATGGAGCCTCATGTGAAAATGTGCATGTATGCGTGTAAACTGAAAAATATGTGTCCAATCCAACTAGATGTTTCTTAAGCATGAACAAGGATGAGAAGATTTCAATATCGCTTAAAAGGGACATGGCCAGTATTGCGTAATTTAAATAATGACAGATGTTATTTGTTTTTTGTGCTCAATAGATTTCTGTCTGTGACTGATCTAACATTGATCTGAACTGTCAACTGACACAAAGGAAAACGTATTTTCATAGGATTTTGCGTCTTGGTTTTCTGACTCATTTGCTCTTTCTCTGTACAGGGTGTGTATGAATGCGTGAAAACGAAATAAAGCAGAGAGAGAGAGAAATAAATCGATTAGACTTCCACCCCAGTGCTCTGGCTGTTCTTTTGGGGGCATATGGGACTCGTGGTTTTGGACCAGAGGATGACAGCTTGTCATGGCGTCTAGCTTTATAATGACAAACCTGTCGAAACTTCCCAGTTCGATGTAAACCCAGCAAAACTAGGCAAAAAAAAGTCTACCAACTGGTATCCACGATAATACACACAGGCACTCTTTCTCATTCCAATCGTTCACCTCAACAAGTGTGCGCCATCTTGTGTTTACGATGAGAACGGCAAGAATATGAAAGGGAACTGACAGATTTTCAAATTTTACAAACTGGTAAGTCGTTTTTTTTAAACCTTTATATTCATTAAACATTTGAAGTTTAGAATATTTTAGTAGTAGTATATCTACATTGTTATTAATTACAAATTGGCATGGATTCAGATTTTTACAAATGTGCCAAAAAATATTACTGATAAAAATGAAAATGTTCGCCTTCTATTAAAATGAATTTGTCAGCACAAAGCCCACCAAAACGTTTTAGGCACTTAATTAGATATTTATCGAAGTACAAAATCACTTCTGTTTAGCGATGGTGTTCTTGATTGACCCAAGCTCTGCGCCAGGCAGGTGCCCCAAGGAACGTTTTTAGAACTTTGGCGAGGTTCGTTTCAAATTATCAACAAACGTTTCTCCAGTAACATTAATAGTGTGTTCGTTCAAAGGTGTGTTCGGTTTTTTGTTTTGTTTTGTTTTGTTTTTTGGTCTTTGTTATCGTTCTCAAATCGTTCGCACAAAAATTCTATTTTGGATTTTTTTTTTTCCGAAACATTTTAGTTTGTTTAACGTTATCAATAGTGCTTGTTTCAGAATGTTCAGGGAACATTTAAAAGTTTGCAAAATGATCAAATCGAATGTCCCCTTAACGATCGCATAACCAAGAAAGTTCAGAAATAATGCTTCACAACTTAATAGAAATGTTAGCAAAACATTCTTAGAACGTATTGTGTTAATAGGGACTATGCATTATTTGCATCATGCTTTGATTCACTAAATACACATATTCATACAAACGTATATATTATTGAAAGTCAATAATTATTTGTTTATACCATGCTTGCTGACCCCCTCCACTTCACATCTTGCAAGTAGGCTTCCTTATGCTCTGTTTATGGGTCAGTTTATTATGTCAGCCCGTTCTGCAGCTCAAGAAGTTCCCAGACCCTTTTAGAGAGTGCATTTTTTAAACTATATGTTGTGTGACGTTTGCAATGTGTGTAGTGTACTGTGTAACAGTGGGTAAAAAGTAAATTTGCATAATGTGAAGCATTTGTAAATGATGCACACTGATGCAAGCCTCATGAAATGAAGGGTAGCTTGAAGCAAGCAGTAACTTTAGACATTGTTCAAGACACACACACACACACACACACACTCCCTGGCAGAAGTGGCGAGCCCTCTATTATAAGGTCACTACCGATCTAGCCATGAGCTAAATGAAATATCTACTCCGTAAAAAGATCGATAAAGGGCAAATAAAACCAATTCTCTCCTTTACGCCCCCTGAAGAGAGACTGCAGATATGTCGGGCTCATTCAGATGGAAGATGGCTGCTGTGCTGTTAAGCAGACAAGATTTGAAGTGTGTGTACAGATCATGTGCTTAAAATTTATATTGTCTTTATAGAGCATTAACATTATTTTTGACCAGAGTAAATTAAGCGTTAATTTAGATTTAGATTAGAAAAGATGAATGAGCGGTAAACAATTGCAGCCGAGCAGCTTTATTAAGATGTTAAAAAGCTGCTCATACAGTCTTTGTTTCAGACAAAAAATGCTTTTAAACAAACATGTCAAAATGTATTTGAAAACGATCTCAGCTAAAAATACGAGTCAAATCTTCACAAGTCATACTTTTTCTATGTAAAACAAACAGAAATATATTGTATATGTTCACAATTGAAAGCTAACATTATACAATATGACTGACTACTCATGAAATACAGTCATCAGGGTCAAAAGTACAATGGCACAGTGGTGAGCTCACTCACAATCAAACAAACTCAAACAAATTGCACTTACTTAGCTGTTCTTATGGAATAAATCAGTAAACATTTTATAGGAATGTGTCTGACAAAATATGAACACCTAAAAATAAGTAACCCATCCATGCAGTCCGCTTAACTAAATTAAGACAATCTTCTGTCAAGTTGACATCACAAAAGAGCAGTCATCATGGCACAAATGTCATTAAATATGTCAGAATTGAACAAGTTGAATCAGCCTAGCTGATTTCACATAGGATATAACAACTTTTTGCAATGTAGAGGTATATATATATTTCAGTGTAAAAGCAGTATTTTTTGTCAGTCAATTGCTTCAAGATAAGCATGAGAGAAATATATCACAGCAACACATGGATTCTATCCTGTATGTTTAAGAATATAAAACTTCCTTGATGCAGTAACTTCATACAGTGTGCTAAACTTATAATGGCACTCCAAGTTCAAATGTTTCAAAAGATATCAAATCGAGCGTCTGTTGATGTCACTCTTTAGAGATTTGCCTGGCATCTCTCGTCTAACATATCTTTATGTTACTCTGTCAGTGCTATTGCTATCTTCTCCATCTCTAGCTGTCCAGGGAGCCGCTGCCCTTGTTCTTGTTGCGGCTGAGTGGGAAGGTGGATTTGCTCTGAGGCTGGGTCATTTTGCTGGCCAGATGGACAAAGGGCTCGATGAGAGCCTGTTTTGAATGTTCTATTGCACAACTGCAGCTATTTTCACGGAAATAAAATTAACGAAAATCAAATACACTTTTTCAGTTTTTGCATTTTAGGTAGGTTTGCTAAGGTTAGATTCATATATTTAATCAATTTTAATTAATACATTACAATTAATAAATTTAAGAAGAATGTAAGAATTTCGCTCTGAAACATGATAATTGCTATTTATCAGCATGCTTAATTTTAGACAATTAACCAAGAATTTCGTTACAAACAGTAAACAATTAGGCCTACTAGAGAAATTTTATGTCGGAGCGGGATCTGAGCGGGGGCGGTTAGAGCGACTGAGTGGAGCGCACGTCCATAGACCGGAACACGTAGCGGAGCCGCTTCGCTCACATGCTCTGCTATATAATATATATATATATTGACCCCAAACTTTTGAACGAGTGGTGTGCAGTCTGTGCATAACAAACACACAGACCTCTTTTTTGTCACGGCAGCGGTCGATGTCTTTCTTCAGAGCCTCTACGCGTTTGAAGGACTCTTTGCTGTCGATGCTGTAGACGAGCACGAAGCCGTCGGCGAAAGTGAAGTAGTGCCGCGGAAACTCGTGACCATCGCGCAGCCCGCGCGTGTCGTAAAGCCGCACCTGCTCTCGGGTGCCGCGGTCCGTTTCCACAGACCCGATGTAACTGTCCTCCAGTGTCTCCATGGTCTCTGAACCTGCCAAACCGGTACCACATGAATCTGTACTGCTCATTTATTTGGGTTTAAGAAATGACTCGTGTCATAACACTCACCTGCGACATGGTTGGCGTACAGTAACTGCTCCAGAACCGCGCTTTTGCCCACTGACCCCTGGCCACACACCACCACCTTGCAGCTCTTGCCCATGATCACTTACAACCGCGCAGTCTTCATTAAAGTATAGAAATACACTAGAGATAAAAGGTGGGTTGTAGTAGAAACCTGTTACAACGAGAGAATAGAGAGAACGCTGACGTGCAATAATAATAATGTTTTATGCAACAGTCACATGAGCGCTGCCCACACTGGTTTGCATAAACCTGCTGCGCCTGAAGCTACATCTTCAGAGTGTATCAGATTACTGTATAATTGAATACTAAATTGTATTCATCTTTGATAAGTATTAAATGCATTAAAGAAAATAACCGAAGCGTTTAAGAAAAAAACTGGACTTACCGTACTCTCTTCCTGTTGTTTATGTCAGATATCAGCCTTCGACGAAATTTGACACCAGTTCCGTTGAGTCGAATAGCGCCCTCTCTGTCCGGAGGACAACAATACATGCCGGTACATGTAATACATAGGTATTACATGGGTATTACAAAAAATGTAAAAAATAAAAATAAAAAACACCTGTAAACATATAAACCTTTGGGATTGCATGTGGAGAAATACATACATACATACATGCACATATATGAAGAAACAGAAATGATATTGTACAAAAACATTCAGGAGAACATTAATGAGTATTCGACACAATATTTCAAAGAAAACACAGAAGGAAAAACACATAAGCAAGATAAACAAACTAATGAATATCGTAAAAAAGATAAATAGGCCTACATATATTTTTTTTTTAAAAGGCTGATGTTTTAAAAACCATTAACTACAAATTAAAAAAAAAAATCAAATCAACTGGAAAAAGTTGACAAGTAGAAGGAAGGTAGATTAAACCTTCTAAATAGTATATACTAAAAATGGAATCTGCCACATTAATATTTGTTATCAGTATAGCTAGTCATTATTTATGTAACACATTATGACGTAGCCTATACGAAGTCATATATGCAGAAGTTGTGAAGAAGCATTGGTTGCACACACCTTCTCAATGAATACACTTTCTTAATTGAATGAACTTTGAATAAAGGGTAATAAAACATTTTGGTCGTGAACCACTCTTTATTTTTACTGAAGCGATTGGGTGAATGAATTATTTAGTTGATCGGCTGACTACCTGTGATAGTAAACAGGATTGATGACTCATTACATCAACTGAAATTAAAATAACATACTAGCACTAAATTTAGTATAGGCTATAAAATGAAAATAATTAAGCTTTTAAAGCAAAAGTTCAATAATGCATAACAATACAATATCATCTCTGAAAAACATGAAAGCTGTAAAATGTGGTCAGTCCATGCAGGTAGCTACTATTTGTAAACAATGATTTTATTTAAATTTTCTTATGTTTAGTTTTATCTTTTGATTTAATTTTTTTGCTGTTTATCCTAAAGTACCCCCTGACTGTATTTGTAGCTAAATCTTTAAAACCAATTTTAAAAATATTACACTATTACTATGTACTTGTATTCAGCCATACAAAAAAATACGGTCATTTGTCGCCACCTACTGGTGTAGCGCAACGTCGCCTGCGATCACTGAGCGAATCTTTTAATTTAAGTGAACTGATTCAAAAGATTCGAGTCACGGACGTGAATCAAAATTCTTACATAAAAATAAATAAATTTCTTAAGATGTTTCACATAATTATAATAGTTACTACTGATGTCCATAGAGATTGATATCTGTGCAGTCTCTATAGTTTAAAAACAATGTAAAGAGTAAGGGCCAGTTTTTGAAAAACTACTGGAACCGTTAATTTAACTAACTAGACAAAATGCTTTGATTTCAACTTTAGTGCACTTTTATTTCTGAAAATAGTTTCTCCACACTATCTCAGTATTGTTTCTCGTGTATCCGTTGACCTACTATGGGCATACTGCGCAGGGCTGCGGAAGGCGGAGCTGAAGGCGGTATGAAAGGCCCACATGCCTCGCGTCTTCCTCCGCCTCTCTACAGCAAAATGGCGACTGTTGACTTCGACTCGTCCGCGGATCCAGAGATGGACTTGACCAGCGACGAGGAGTTAGAGAGGTACCTGACAAGAGCGATCACTTTAATCAGATGCCGGCCGATCCGTGTGTGAGGTATCTGTGTTTTAGAGAAGCCGTGGTCGGGCTCACGGTTGTGTAAAGACCCTGAGATCGCGACTGCCGCATAACTTGAAAATCAAGGGGTGACTATGGCCTAGTGTGCCAGGCAGCTGCTTTTAGTGCTGGGGTGCCTTGCGATTAGCCTGCTGCTGTCCTTACGTCTTTTAAATTAGCTTTGAGCTTTTAAAACGATGATCAAGGGTGCCGAGCATCGTGTTATTACGACAGAGGTGCAGTACTCAGTGACACAGTTTTGGGTGAGAATTAGGTCAAAGGCAGCGTGACATTGCTCTTAAGAGCACAATGCAGACGCACTTAAACCCACAGACAGGACAGCAGAAACATCCAGCTGTTCATCAGTGACGCACCGTTGCCTTCAATATGTCAAACAATTATAGTTGTTGAGTGATAACCTTAGTAACGTTAGGTGACTACAATGCAAAAAAACGCACATGCGTATAGAGGAAGTGACGTTCTGTCCCTGCGGTTCTCCTGTATTTGCAGGCCACTACTTTTGACACCTGCTTGGACGTTTTGTCCGAGGTATTAGGAACACGAACAGATTCGCAGCTTTTTAAACTGTCTCTTAAAGGGAGAAGGACAGCCTCAGTCAGAGTTCTGTTTTATTATGTGTCAAAAGGACGTGTAAAGAAAGTGAATGGGGAACGAGGCTGTCAGTCAGTAACATCTGAGGCTGACTGACCTCTGCTTCGATGACCGAATTTTAATTTTCGGTGTACTGTCGCTTTAAATGCACATGGCGTTTCAATTATATTTATTCAGTGTTTAGTGTCATTAAAGTCAAGATGGGAATTTGAACAGAATTGTGAGATATATATATATAGTGGAAAATAATGTGTTTTTTGAACCTTAAACTGCATAAACACATTTCATTACACCAAATACACAAAATAATGTTCTTTTTAGCAGCATCATATGACCCCTTTAAGGTGATGAGTAGACTGAAGTAGGGCTCAGGTGGTTGTGCTGTGGGATGTGTTTCCGATACATTTATTTATTTGTGGCGCTTGCCACAATATCAAAACTGACCGATTTTCCAAAAGGCTTGGTTGAATAAACATGAGCACGTACTGCACGTTTAAAAATCATAACGAGGCGCGGGTGTTTTTATATCACTGTATTTCTGAAGGAAGACTATCTTTAGAACATTTTCGATGTCATTTTAATTTCATTTTGCATGTTATATGCCTGATAAAGCAGCGTTTGTGAGCTCAGCGCTGCTGTGTGTACAGCCATTACTGGGGAAACCTCTGTTTCTCCCGCTTTAAAGCACCTCCTGCTGGCAGAGAATGAATTTGCATTTTCTGTAAGTACGTCTGATTTACACAGCAAACATATTTTGCTTGTTAACAAAAATAATCTAGAGCAGTGATGGGCAAACTTGGCCCTTTCAGGCCACTTTCCTGCAGAGATTTGATCCAACCCTGATAAAACTCACCTGCCTGTAGCCTTCTAGTAGTCTTGAAGACAATGATTAGCTGGTTCAGGTGTGTTTGATTAGGGTTGGAGCTAAACTCTGAAGGAAAGTGACCTGGAAGGGCCAAGTTTGCCCACCCCTGATCTAGAGGGACTACTTAGCTTTCTAGCTACTTGGCTAGAAACGATTGGTTAACAAACTGTAACTGGACATGTCAGAAATTAACCTTGTGTCTGACATAACTTTCCTCATGTGAAGTGTAGTTAGAGTATTATCTGTCGGAGTCACACACTACTGTAAAGATGCAGTACAAACCTAATGTTCCTGGTGAACTCTAAGTACTTGACTTTTAATTTGTGACCCTGGAGCACAAAACCAGTCTTAAGTCGCACAGTTATATTTGTAGCAATACCCAACAATATATTGTTTGGGTCAAAATTAGGGGTGTGCGATATATATCGTCTGTTAAGTAAAGATCATGTTCCATGAAGATATTTTATAAATTCCCTACTGTAAATATATCAACTTAATTTTTGATTAGTAATATGCATTGCTAAGAACCTCATTTGGACCGCTTTAAAGCCGATTTGATCAATATTTAGATTTTGTTTTTTCACCCTCCGATTCCAGATTTTCAAATAGTTGTATCTCAGCCAAATATTGTGCTATCCTAACAAACCATACATCAATGGAAAGCTTTTCAGTATTCAGATTTCAGTATAAATCTCAATTTGAAAAAATTTACCCTTATGACAGGTTTTGTAGTCCAGGGTCTCATATAATTTGTCTGCTGTTGTTTTAATAGATTGAGTTACGGTTTCCAATGTAACTCTAAATAAATGTCAATTGGACTAATAGTGCAACAGTCGGGCTCCGGAAGTAAAAATCCCATTCATTTTCATTTCTTTTAACACAGACCTGCTGTGAGCTATGAGGTTGTTAATCGATGGTATATGCTTTTGTTGAAGCCATCAGCCTGCATTATTTCAATTTATTTTTTAAATAATCATGTTCAACTAATGAAAAAATAAATGACCCATGATTCGGCAGAGAAATCTCCACCAGTCAGGATCAAAATGGGCATCAATGTATGAATTATTTTCAATTCATGTTATTTGCAATGCTTCATGGGATTGTAGTTCTTTCCCTCAGTAAAACTATTAAGTACACAGTCTTGTATCTTTTTTTTTTCAGTTGTTTTGCTTCCAATTCAAGTTTCTATTGTTGTGATTCACCGCATAGTTGGTTGGTTTGGTTGATGGTTAAACTCTTAAACTGAGGTAAGAAAAATTAATGGGAAAAACGCTTCTGGAAAAAAGGCTGTTGAAAAAGTGGGCAGGCGCTAAATGCCCTTTATAGGAAACAACTACTGTGCGTCATGACTTAATTGTGCATGTGATCTTAGGTATTGTCAGCTCATGTACCTGCTCTATCAATGATTCACGTCATTGTCATTCTCTCTCACAGAAAGCACCAGTCTGCTTCTGGTTTCCAGATTAACTGGAGGGTGTGAACAGTGACGTCTGAATAAAGCACTATATTTGCATGACCACACAGGTGGCACAGAACACAAACTTCACTACAGCTGCAGCTCTCTGTCTGAGGAGAGTGTGAGGTTGAACATTGGTGTGCGATTAAGTAGGCTCAGCTGTTGACTGGTGTATAAAACCCTCTCGAGAATATTCCAGAGATAAAGGCGTAATTAGGCGTGTTTCCATTACCCTTCAAATTGCACAAATTGAAATTGTGAATTGAAAATACGCGTCAATTTTGCAAAAACGAAAACTGCAATGGAAACGGCTTTTTCGCATTTACAGGTCACATGGAGTATGTAAAAAGTCATAAAAAAGTCATTCTTCAATGTACTATAACCTCCAAG